CAGAATTTATTTATAAAAAAATTGTATGTTTATTCCTACATGTTAAAACTTCAGTCACCTTCAAAGCACTCTCCATTTAATGCAATACACTTATTAAAATGTTTTTTCTACTGCTCACAAGTTTTTGAACTCATCAGTTTTGATGCCTTTTAGTGCTTCTGCCATTATTATTTATTTCATCTCTTCCACATGGGCAAGATGCTTCCCTTTGAGGACTTTTTCATACAGGTAAACAACACCACAAAAAAAAATCCCCCAGGGCTAAATCAGGTGAATAAAGAGGGTGGGAGCACTGGGGTCATCTTTTTTTGGTCAAGTGTGCTCATGAATAACCCATCATGAAATGGGCAAATGCTTCCGAAGACTTCCAAAAATTTGGTTCCCTCTAAAACAATGGTTCTCAACCTTGGTTGTGCATAGAATCACCTGTGAAACTTTAAGACTACCCAGGTGAGACTGATTTGATTACTCGAGGGTACAGCCTAGATCATGGATTTTTTTTTAAGTTCCCTAAGGTGTTTCTAATGTGCAACTAAGGATAAGAATCAAAGGTGTTTTTTTCAGGAAAGAAATCATATCCAAAGCCTTAGGTAACTTAAACAGGGATAATAAAATGAAATGTTATTTCAGACAATGTTTCCATAATTTTTCTGTAGCTAATTTTTTATATAGAAGTGACTCTTTCCCTGAGCACAGGGAACACCTTAGCAGTAGGAAAATTTTCTTTAAAAAATCAGAAAGGACTACCATACCCAAAGAGGGATAAAACTGTCCACTTTACTGTAGTATTAACATTCAGATGGAAATTATAGGCAAGAGCCCACTGTGCATTATTTCACCCAATACGATTTCCCCACAATGCTCTCTCTTCCTGATCGATATTCCCAATGGAGCACGCCTCCCCATCAACTGCAATTTCACAGTATTATTTGTATACATTACTTGAATTTAGAATAAACAAGAAAAAATATGCAAATATATAGGAGTGATTATATTAAAAGGTTAATAAGGCACATTTTAGTGTGATTACAGTGACAATGTACATATTGTAGAAACACAAAGAACAGGGGTATATGAAGCAAAGGAAAAGTTTTTAGGCACCATTTTAATATTTTTAATTCCCTCTTCATTATTTCTAGTTTAAAAAATAGTTGGCTCCATCTCAATATGTGACTTGAACTTAATAAAAACAAAAATAGTGAACACAGCAACCACTAATCAGAAACCTCCAGACTCCTGGCTAACCAAGAGTATAAGCACATCAAGTCATGCACATGTGAAAGACAGTTATAATTTGAGAATTGTAGTTTGTAAAGCCACATCTATGTGAGCAAATGTACTAAACATCTTCTGTGGGGTCATTATGTTTGCTGGATTCTCCCTAACTTCTAACCACTATGAACTCCTTTTCTTACTTTTTCCACCTGGGTCTCAATGTTTTCCCAAGGTTCACCAAACAAATTGCCTTTGTTAAGTAATAACTGACTTGCTTTACCTTAACAGAGTTGCTTCATCTGTGTCACTGTGCTCCCTTTTTAACACTGATTCCACCTTTAACCAATGATACAGAACCACCCAAATTCATCATTACTGCTTTTAGTTAACATTGTGGTGGTGCAAAAGTAATCAAAGGAAATAAGCATCAGAGGCTTAAGAACTATTCACAGAGCAAGTTATTTTGCCATTGGCAGTTTCCTTTATATTCATACCATGTATGTTCACTTAGGTGGCGTGACCACCTGGTATAGGGCCTTGTCAGTGTCTGGTCCACACTACCCCCCACCCCCAACCTAACCCCCAAAATTTTCTGTAAAGTCATCAGTATTCAGTCAGATGGCTGGATTGGCATAGGCTGACAACTGTTATTCCTCGGAATTGAAGTTTTCTAGCCAAAAATCAAAGACAGACATATCTTAGTCAACTGTGAGTTTAATGCTATTACATTTTCTCAGCTCACAGATAAACCCTTGACTAGCTTTGTGGACCATTTTCACCAAGTGACAAACAGAAACTCTGCAGCTCTTCATAGCCACTCACCATTCCTACCAGTCAGAGGGCTCTGATCAGCAAGGCTGATCTCTTACCTCTGATTCATTTTCTTCATTGTAACAGGAGGACCCTTTCAGATCCCAACTTCTGAGTTTCTAAATTCAAGAAGCACCATGTATTTCAGTGACAAAAACTTAAACTATTAAATCCTTTTACGAGATGTCTGACTACTTGAAGACAGAATAAAAATTTATAATAGATTGTGATTATGCAATTATCCTGTTACTTTCTCTGTATAACCCAACTGTATAATTTGATGCACAAGGCTGGCTTGTGCATCAAATTAACAAGAATATAGTTATATTTTGCTTTTTCCTATGAGAATATCTGACCATCAAAAATTGCTCCAGCTCCCCTTAGCAAGCAGCAGGTTTTAAAAAAAAGCATGAGGCCTTTTGAATAAGTTTGAATAAAGGAACTACTAGGTTGTGTGGGGTCTCAACCTTAATTTAAAAATTCACAAAAGTTAATCAGACAGAACTCAATGCTCTCAACATTTAGAAAAATTTCCAAGCATTCCACATATTTTTGAACAGAACACATGCAGCAGTCTTGGGAATGCACCTGTTTGCCAACTCAGTTTCTGGACAAGCAAGCATTCTACAGGTATACCTTATTTTACTGTACTCAGTATTAAAATGATATTCTATTTTGCTTCAGATTTCTGGGTTCTGCTATTATTGGGGTTTTTTGGGAGACACAAACTGAAGGCAAATCCCCCCACCCACAAAAAGATTAAGATTTGTATTACTGCAGTGGTCTGAAAGGGAATCTGCAATATCTCTGAGGTATGCCTGTAATTGAACAGGAGTCAAGAGATTTACCCTATTTGAAGAAGCAAAGGTGAGTTTGTTTCATTAACAAAATGCAAAATGTATGTACAGTATAAATCAGCTACTAATAAGTGACTTGTTGCAAAAGAAAACATGTTCAAGGATAAGATTCCAAACACGTCTTTAAGTAGTCAGACATCTCGTTAAAGGATTTAATAGTTTAAATTTTTGTCACTGAAATACATGGTGCTACTTCTTTCAACTTTGGGAATTTAGAAACTCAGAAGTTGGGATCTGAAAGGGTCCTCCTGTTACAATGAAGAAAATGAATCAGAGGTAAGAGTCTAGCCTTGCTGATCAGAGCCCTCTGACTGTTAGGAATGGTGAGTGGCTATGATGAGCTGCAGAGTTGTTGCTTGTCACTTGGTGAAAATGGTCCACAAAGCTAGTCAAGGGTTTATCTGTGAGCTGAGAAAATGTAATAGCATTAAACTCGCAGTTGACTAAAATATCTGTCTTTGAATCTTAATGTTACCACACTATGTTTTTAAGACTTTAATGTAGTAAATAAGTTTAAGTGCAATGAATGAAAAAAACTGAATGAGATTCATACTTTTATGACCACCTATAACAACAAATGTTAAAATTTACACTTAGTTTAAGAATGACTACTGAAATTGAAAGTCATCTGACCTAGAGTTGGGAAGAGGTAAGGGGTGACTACAATGCAACTCCGCCAAAGTGACAGATGAGAAAGTATGGTACCCACCTAGGAGTGGATGGAAAGTTCACAAAAGTCCACCAGGGGCACTAAAAACTGACTCGAGGATTGGCATCTTTGACCATGCGAACTCGTTTGGGATTAGAAAATGCTACTCTGACACATTTCTCTTCTCCAAAATGAGAGGTATGCACAGGAGGATCCCTACATTTTTTTCCCAGCGCTGGCTTTCTGTGACTCTGAATTACCTAGGGGGTTAGGCACTAGAAGGATCTATGTAATTAGAGAATCATCCTACAAGCATGCCCAGAGAGTGAATTATTCAAAACAGCTACTTAGTTTAATCCTGTTTTAAGAGGATGGGTATTTGGGGTAGGAGGGTGTTGGTTAGACTGCATTTACTCTGAACTACAAGTTTTCAAAATTCAATTCAAAAGCTCTCCAATTTCTAAGAAACACCTCACACACTAAAGTTAATTAGCTTTGGGAAGCTAATGCCATCTGTGCATCTAGGTATGCCTTGGGAAAATTACAATCTCTCTGGGTCTCCACACCTTGTCCCAAACCAAAGGGACTGTTAAAGATTTCTACTGAACCTTCTGGATTAGCAGTCTACTAAAAAGATTTGCTAGACCGTTTTTGTTTAAAACACCCAGTTAGGGCAACTTCAGTCATTACTTCAATCTGCTACAGAACCTTAAACCCCTGGGGTCTTGTTTTAAAACTAAAGCTGGCACACATTGCATCTGAAACAAACTCCTTATCTCTTTAGGAAGGAAAAGGAGAAAAAAACATTTGTGCTGAAATGGTTATACACCAATCCTTTCTTTTTATCAGTAGTGCATTTCATTGGGCCAGCCCTGACCAGAATTACTAACTCCCAGCACTACTACAAAGCTACAGACATTCTGCAGTTTTTAGATTTGATGTCCTAGTTATTAAGCAGTATAGAAAACTTGTCTATTTCACTTTGTTTCTTAGCATTTCCGTCCCTTAGCCTTGGTGAAGACTTCCCAACTGGAAGTGTCCCTATTCTACTCGTTACGTCTAGACACACACTCGCTCATTCAGACCCACGGCAAAGTCCAGCTCTGGTTGGGCTAAGCGAACAGGATGCGCCACTGCCGCTAGAAATTAAAGTTGACGGGAGCTGCCTTGCAAGCCGGCCAGAGCCCGACCCGCCCGCCGGGTGCATCGCTGCACAGCCAGAGCTGCCGGGTCGTTTGCCAAGAGACAGGTTCTACCAACTCGGGGGTGAACACACGTCTCCTGCAACCCCATACGCAGATGGTTGAAACACTGTCCTCCCCGCAAGGGTTCACTTGCCCTCCAAGACTAACGAAAATACAGCGTCCTGCGCTAAGCAGAGGGACAGTGAGGGTCCCCCAGATCTCTCCTGGAGAAAAGCCCGGGGAGGAACAAGTGGGAGGAGGCGCACGGTCCTGCAACCAACTCACCTTCTGTTGCCTCCGGGCCATGTCTGTGGGCTGTTTGGCATTGAACGGGTAAGCGATGCATCTCACGACGAAGACGTAGAGCTGCAGGCGGATCCTCCGATCTTGCTCCTCGTCCAACTGCCGCTCGGGCTCTTCTCGCCCCTCACTGACAACCGAGGGGCTCGGGCTCCTGGGTCTGGCCGCGCCGCTGCCCGCGCGCCCCGGCGCGTCCCGCCGCCCTTCCCGAGCCGGGGCCGGCGGCGCTCGCTGGGATCCGCCTGCCGCCACCAACACATCGCGGGTCTCTTCTTCAAGCCCCTCGTCCGACTCCTCTTCGCTGGAAGAAGGGTCCAGCATGGTGCTCGGGCAGCCGCGCCGCTCGGTCCCCACCCCCAGGTGCCTCAGCCGTGGCAGCTGCGCCCGCGAGTCTGAGGGTGCCGCGCGGGTGGCAACAGCGGCCACAGAACGAAAGGGAAACTGGCCAGAGCTTTCCGGACACGTCGAGTTAAATACAGGAGTATTTCCTACCACCAGGGCCAAAGGGGCGGGCAGGCGCCTGGAGGAGGACGCGGATGGAGAGAGGGGAGCCGCTGGGATTAAATAGGCGGAGTTACCGTTGGGGGTGAGCCCGAGCGCCTGCTGAATAAATCAGGCCGGCCCCAGGGCCCGCCCACCCCGCGGTCCTGCCGTGACCGCCCGGGCTGGGAGCCACCGAACGCAGGTGGGGAACCTGTGGCGCCTACAACAAGCAACACGTGGAATGGAATTTTGAGGAGCGGGCGCGGGGCCGCGGAGTGCGCGTGCGCGCGATGCTGCGCCGGGGGACGCGTTGCAGGGGTGCCAGAGGGTGCAATTTGCAAAGGCGGGAAGAGACTGAACACGCTGGCTCTGTGTTCGCCCGCCTAGGGTTGCTTGGACTGCTCTGACCACCCGACCTCCATTCCCTTTTTTTTTTTTAGCAAGATTCCAGAGGAGTGGGAGATTGGCCCCCACCCCCACCTCCCAGGTGGAGGGAGCCCCCAGAATCTCTCTCGGACCCGAACCTGATACCCAGAGTTGAACTCCAGCGCGGAAAAGTGGGGCCAGAGCTGTTACCTACAAATAACATTGGGAAGAGACTTTGAAAAGTCTGTCACTCTGCTCTGCTGCTGTTTGAAGGTGAAGTTCAAATTATAACAGTCAGAGAAATGTTCTTGGGGGAAAAAGAGCAAAACGCTCGAGGCTTTTTTTTTAACTGTTTTTATTCTTGTAGACTCAGGAAGCAAGACAGGTTTTATACTTACGAAATGGCACACCGATTCAGCTCCCGCCGTATTGTTCGATAATTTTCTGGGTTGGGATGCAGTTGACTCAAGACAGGTAGTGTAGTGTAGACATTTATTCAGCAGATATTTGAATGCAGTCCCAGGGTCCAGCACTGTTAAGTAGTGAGACTATCCCGCTACGCAGTAAGGCACACAGCACTTGGTCACTGTTGGTTCTGGCCTCAAGTGGGCGTCTGGTACCTTAAGTCTGTCTTATCCGCTAAGATTTCTCACTCCCTAAGCTGGAACCACCTGGAACTTTCTGTGATTTTTGTTCCTGATGTTTTTTAACCCGGACGGAGTGGGGAAATCGGGAAAACAGTGCATTCAGCACACGGTGCAGTGTGCCGTGGCCAAGCTGGAAGGTAGGCGATAAAGCTCAGTGGAAGTATCACCAAGCAGATGAAATTGCTGGCTCTGAGCTTGTCTACCCTGTAACCAAATAGCAATTTGAGCTTTTCCAAGCCACTTTCACAGTTAGGTAAACAAGAAAGAAGCTTTCCTTTCGCACTTAGTGACATTCTCCCTAGATGGGATAAAGAGGTAAAAGACATTTTAACTCCTTATTTACTGAGGGTGTGACTGATCTCCAGCTGCCAGGGAATAGGAAATCTCAAAAACTGACGTATTAAAAACAGTATTTCATTTCTGGCAAGGTAAACAATAAGTGTCAAGCTTATTCATCTACGTTTAGATTCCAGTGCATATAGATAGACACAGCACTTAATAATTTGCAAAGTTTTTGAATGTGCTTGTATAATAATGTGACCAAAGTAACCTTTTGAGACAGGTGGTGATAATGATGATGATTACCATTTACATGCTTTGTACCACGTACTGCACTAATTCTTTTCCACATTGTACATATATTATCATTTATTTTTAGTTCCATTGGGCAGGCAGGGAACCTGAGACTTAAAAGAACCTTCTTTTCTTCAAAACTAAGTAATGGAACAAGGGCTCAATATAGTGAGTCCATTCTACTTCCAAATAGTAGCTTTTTCTACTATAATTTGTTTAACTATATATTAGCATATTACATGTATGTTGTTTATTAAACTGATAACTAAAATAATTTAATTCCTAGAGACATAAAACTGCAATGGAAATATACCAGCTTCATTGCCCTTCCTTTTCATGCCAAGGAGAGGTATATTTTTCATTTTTCTTTATTAGTTAGTTAATACTACTTTGTGTGATGGCTTCTTACTCTCTTTTTATTAAAAATGGTTATCAAAAGGGTTGCTGGTTTAATTCCCAATCAGGGCACATCCCTGGGTTGTGGGCCAGGGTCCCCAGTGGGGGCCACGTGAGAGGCAACCACACGCTGTTTCCCTCCCTCTCTTTCTTTCTGCCTTCCCCTCTCTCTAAAAATGTATATAAAAACCTTTAAAAAATAAAAAAATGGTTATCAAATTTAAAATCTCCCAAGCCTTAGGGATCCCACTGGAAAACATCTAATAATTTTTAGAATAAGGTATACAGAGTTTTCTGTATGAAGATGAAAATGGTTTAAGGAGCATAAACTAAAGAAACATCCAAAAGACAACAAAGAGAAAATTTAAGGATTTCATTAATTAAACACATATTGTTTAAGAAACTAACATATGTGAAAACTATGCTAGGTATATTTAGAAAAACAAGATACAGTCTCTGAGCTTACTAAGTTTACAGGTTAAAGAATGTCAAATGAGAAAAACATTTATTTCTAAAAAACTAAATAAATATTGGTATTGCAATCTGATGATTGTTGTAATAAACCAGAAAATAATTGTAGCGCAGAGAAAAAATAACTGCATTGAGAAAAGAAGAAGGAAAGACTTCCAGGATGGTTGACATACATTTTGAAGAATGATCCAGAGCTTTGGGGGGGTAAGGGCACTTTAGACAGGAGGAAGTACATTTGGAAAGTCATGAAATTACTTGCCTCATTGTACAATTGCAAGTAAAGTGTTATCACTGAAGTGAAGGATACATATGAAGATGTGGGAGATGAGGTAAATTCAGCATTGAGCAGGTCAGGGGGCAGGCATCCATGGCCTTGTAAGCCATGCTTTGGAGTTTAAACCACATCCTGGGGAAAATGGAGAAAAGTAAGTAAGACAAAGGATGATCTGTAACTCTTAAGAGTCAATCTATAACAATGCAAGGAAAGTGAAAGAGGCAGGATACCAAGAGGTTACTAAGGAAATCTGGGAGAGAAACAGTGAGGCCTTGAATTTAAGATGGGAGACAAGGAGAGAAGAAAATCTTAAGAGGTAAACAAAGGACTCGGTGGGATATATATGAGAAGCTGAGGAAGAGAGTCAATAACTTGACTGTTAATAGATAAAATATGGACTTCTAGAAGGTAACTAAGTTTGGAGAAACACCAAGTTATGAGGAGTTTATCAGAGAGATCTGAATCTCTGTTGGAAATACAAATATGTTACTCAAATCTGGAGAAAGGGATCATCGGCATATTGGTGGTAGTGAAGCTACAGGTATAGATGCTAATAAGGTCCAGACATCCTGTATTCAGAGAGAGAAGAGCGAGAATGATGGGTCTCTAGGGAACCCTCTTTGTCTTCCAATTAAGGGATGGATAGAACAAAAGAAGCCAGAAAAGAAAACCTGATCATTACAAATTAATTATGCCTTAATAATTTCTAATTAACATTTTCAATTTTGCACATACCCTACTGTTCTTGCCAAATTTCTACAAGCAATATTAACTTTTCAGATAATTATTACAGTGGTTGATTCTCTGGGATAATTGAATAAATGATGCTCAACATTAGATTGTGATTGGTTTGTACCATTTCATAAATACATAAAACACACTGAAATTTAGTCAATGATTCATTGTTACGTTTGTGAAGGTGAGCATAAAAACAAATTGAAGTTATACTGCTTTTTAATGAAAGGCCTCTAATGCTAAAAAAAAAAGATGGGTGCACAGTGTTAAAATAGAATATAAATGTGTTTTAGTAATGTTACTTATAAAACAGGAGTGTGACCTGAATAGCTATAGGTAGGTGGTCTGTTTTCTGGTTGAGACTTGGTTTGTGCATCTGACCTGAAAGGAAGCTGTTAACTCTTTCAAGTCAAAGATAAAACTATTTCATTGAACAAACATTATTTGAGCACTCACTCTAGGCTACAGAGTATTCTGAGTAGAGAAAAACAATAAAAGTTTGTCCTTGAAGGGATGCATATGAAACAGACAAGAGCAAAATAAAAAATTATGGTAATATATGTATGCTCTTGTGTAAATAGAGAAAAAATTCACAGAATACTCCTACAGTGTTTTGGAAATGGGCAGTGTATTATCTTTTGTAGTATAGTTACAGTTAAAATTATACATTAACAGAGGAAAGAGTCTTTTCCAGTCAAATGGAAAGGCTAGCTTTGCAAATATGTCCAGAAAATTGTCAGCTCACAAATTCAGCTAATAAGAGAAGTATGCATTTACAAAAGATAAAAACAACTTTTTTTACTTTTTATTTTTTATTTTAAATGTTGTTCAAGTAGTTTTCTGTCTTTTACTCCCATCCAAGCCCACCCCCCCCCAGTGCTCCCCACCTCCCTCCCATTTCCACCCCCCTTAGTTTTTGTCCATGTGTCCTTGGAAATATTTGTTCCTATAAATCCTTCCCCTTTTCCCCTGAAACTCCCTCCCCTCTCCTTCTGGTCACTGTCAGCCTGTTCTCTATTTCAGTGTCTTTGGTTACATTTTGCTTGCTTATTTGTTTTGTTATTTAGGTTCCTGTTAAAGATGAGATCATGTGGTATTTGTCTTTCACTGCCTGGCTCATTTCACTCAGCATAATGTTTTCCAGTTCCATCCACACTGTTGCAAAGGGGAGGAGCTCCTTCTTTCTTTCTGCTGCATAGAATTCCATTGTGTAAATGTACCGTAGTTTTTGGATCCATTCATTTACCGATGGGCACCTAGGTTGCTTCCAACACTTGGCTATTGTAAATTGTGCTGCTATGAACATTGGGGTGCATAGGTTCTTTTGGGTTGGTGTTTCGAGGTTCTTAGGATATAATCCTAGCAGTGGAATTGCTGGGTCAAAAGGCAGATCCATTTTTAGTTTTCTTAAAAAATTCCATACTGTTTTCCATGGCAGTTGTACCAGTCTGCAATCCCACCAGCAGTGCGCTAGGGTCCCCTTTTCCCCACAACCTCTCCAACACTTGTTTGTTGCTTTAAAAACAACAAATTTTTGAAACTTTAAGATGAGTAGTTTTATCTTACGAGACAATAATGCTCCTGGCAA